TTTGACATGCTGGTGGCATTTGAGAAAATATCACTAAAATCACTGGAAAACATCCTTAAGGGACATGGAAATCCTCAGACATCTCACAAAAAACACAAATGTCAACCTTATTGTGGCACCAGTGGAAATGTTAGAGGATCACCAAAGTGTGTAGAATTTAATATCTGGGGACCATATTTTAGTCTTGACCACAATTGTTGACCATCATTTCAACCCCTAGAATAATATAAAAAACATGTAATCATTTGGATCAAACCGTCTCACTTTGCCAATGTTGAATGTTTTGTCCTTAAGTCATCGAGTGTTCAAAATGAAAAGGGCGCATCCTCTGGGGAGCTTGAAAACATTTAGTCAATTCCTAGCAAAACCGAGAATGGATTTGGATATTTCTTGTATGGGAACAAAAACAGGACGATTCATTCTTAAATACAAAGAAGCATAAAACAGCTAATTTCATTGTAGTCTATTACTTTGTGGTATACATTGCCTTGACTCAAAGTGATGGTCAAATGGTGACTACAACATATGATAGCAAATCGCTAAATTAATTTAAAAGACAAAAGTCATCAGTTGGCTTGTGAAAATCCACACAAAAAGTCATGGCAATCTGAACATTATTTGACCAACATATTGATGGGGTTTTCTGGAAAATCAGGAGCTTTATGATTTGCGTGAGCTCATTAGACATGTAGCTGATTTTAATGAGAGTCTTATTGAGAGAACATCGAAATGAAAGCAACTTCATTATTTTTCCTTGAGAAGTCTGACCTCAACAGAAGTCATACTCACATTGTCATTGTATACTGTTTTTTCAGTCAGTACACAAACAAATATATTACTGGAAATGATGCAATACATGCACAGATGGATGTAAACCTAATGGTAACCTTGGAACACTGCTGCTTATTAAACTGAGAAGAAAAAGTGAAATAAAGCTTCACAGTTCATTCCTGATCTTGTAAACAAAAGTTGATACACTAATCTCATCTCATAGTCAAGGTTTTGTCTATAATCATCCTCATTTTTGTAATTTTTTCCTGCCGTGAACAGCTCCTCAATTTCCTTTATGCGTTGCATTGTGGTCCATCAAAAACACTCTGAAAAACAAGTCGTTGACTGGACTGGGTTGTCATTTTCAAGTGTGAATGCAGCTAAAAAAACTGCATGAAATTAGTTTTGTGTTCAGAACTGTGGCTTAAAACCCAGTTAATAACCAATAACATGAGGCGTTCCAAATTCCATATGACAACTTCCATCACCAGCAGCATCTAGTTTAGCCCTGAGCCTGTTTTTCAGGTCTCAGGCTCGAAAAATAACATTCCCAGAACAAATGACCATACTGTATCTTCCCTTCTAAAAGGGTTAAATTAATAATATTTTTCCTCAAAGTAATGATAAACCTGTGAGTTGGATGTAGAAGAGTCAGAACAATATAGATGTTTTTTATTTTAAAGAAAATTCAGATTGAACATAAAAAACTCTAAATTATACTGTCCATCCAAAAATTATGTTTTACTTATAGTGAAAACCAGTGCTTGAATTGGAATAAAAAAGGTGCCAGTACTCTAAAAAATCAGCAACTGTTTCAAGTCATATTTATACAGCCCTATTTGGCTCAAAGTCATAGTATATCCTATAATACTGGTGGGTTCGTCTCTTTACTGTATATTTTCGAAAGGCTCACTACTTAAACAAAATGACTCAGGGTGCATCTGAGATTAGAGAGGGTGCAGTGGTAAAGTGCTATTTTATAAATGGGGAGTGGCCCTGGGGTTCGGGGGCATGCTCCCCCGGGAAGATTTTTTTTTAAATATTGAAGTTAGATGCATCAATCTGGTGCACTTTGAGAGCAACATGAAGAGATATATGGATACCTCTCAACATCCATATGAAACAACTGTAAACAGATTTAATTTTTCTTTATGGATATAAAAGAAAGTAAAGCCTGACTCCTACTGGCGGCTGGTTAAATGACTCCTCGTCCCGAGTACACTCACCATCTTTCAGCAGGAAAGGAGAGAGGGAATCCTTGTCCGGCGACAACCGCTGTCTTTTCGCACTATTATTAAGCCACGCTGACATTTTCGAAATGCTAACGTTATGTGATGTATTTTCTGCTCTAGTCTATCGCTGCAGCGTGTCATAGATGGGTCATGAGATGGGTCATGAGATGGGTCATGAGATAGGTCATGAGATGGGTCATGAGATGGGTCATGAGATGCGTCATGAGATGCTGCGGTTGAGTTCCGGCATTTTACTGAGCACCGGTAAACTGAGGTAAGAAGTGCCGGTACCACATGGGTAAAAATCAGAAGTGCCGGCCCAATTCAAGCACTGGTGAAAACTACCCTTGGATGATGGTAAGGTAGACTAAAAGCTTTAGGAATCCAAAGTACAACATATAATAAGTACCCTGTATCAAGATTGATGCAAAACAAGTGACATTTGACCTTTTTAGAGAGGTTTAGCCAAAAAGACTCCACCTCTGAGGTGATTTGGGTGAACATGGGGGTTTTACCGTTTCTCTGGAAGCCATTGGTCGATTTTGGTGATTGACATCTCTTTCTGACCGTTAGAGCCAATACAATCGAAGGGGAATCTCCCCACTCACAAACATGGTAAAACAATTTTGTTTTGCATGAGAGTGAAGCTGTCTCTAGCTCTGACATCTGGAAACCGAAAAGCAGGTTTATTTCTCATGGATTATCAGAAATCATTTCAAAGGGACATTGGATTAACCTATGGATTAACTTCAGCAGCGTTTTTATCGTTTTAATGCCATTGAAGACCACTTTTGACCAGACTATGACACAGGTGAGCCATGTTAGCATTTTTAGCTACGTAGCGCCACATGTTTTGATGTCTGTTTTTGTTTATAAAGTCGCGATTTCGGAGGCTCAGCGTTAGCATTGTGGATTTTATTTAAAAAAAATAAAAATAATGATCAGTTAGATGAGTTTCTTCCCGTTACATGGATATAAAACATTCATAGTTTATTAAATGAACATGCCCTCAGACACTGTTTCCTGCAAGATGTTGCGGCAGTGCCCCGGTACCGGGGTCTTTCGGGCTTAACAGGTTTAACCATGCTCAGTGAAATATTGAAAAGGTTGTGAGTATAGATACTGGCTTAAGAAAAAAAAAGAGGTAATACCAAGGCAACACAGGATCACGTTAGAGCCAGTGGGGGGTGGCGGGGTGGGCAATGTGGGAGAGGGTATGTGATGCAAGAACGGGGGGAAAAGAGAGGGAAGGGGGTGGGGGGGCCTACAGTGAGACTTTAGTAATGGTGGAGAGCAGAGGATTAGAGGGAGCACAGTGTTGCAGAATGGCCTTCAGCTCTGTTTGAGGCTGTGTGTACACCAGCAAGAAGGTTTTAAATATGTTATGAGCAGCATGTGCAGCCAGTGGGGGAGGAACAGTAGGGGGTGGGGGGTGAGGTTAATTCTGCTTGGTGAGTAGATAGGGGGTAGAATAAGGCCAGTCTGGGAGAGACCAAACAAGTGGTGCAACTCTGTGTTTTACCAGCCCTGTTATGCTCATTTTCAGGTTTCATAATTGTATTTGTTTGCCTCTATTGGGACATGTTTAAATGCATTAATGTACAAAAAGGTTTTTTCATACCTCTTTTCACCCTCTGTCTAAAACCAGAGCCCAGTCTGATCGAATTGTTGAGCTGGCCAGTTATATTGTGAGCAAAGACAACATTTCGTATCATGTGAATACAGCTTTATGGAGAGATAGGCCAAATAGCTAGGACATGATCAGCACTGTGTGTTCCTGTTGAAGGCCCCCGGCACACATCTACAGGAATAAAACTACTGCTACAGGAATTAAACCCTCAAGCATGTTGCACCTCTGGCCGCACCCACATCATTGATGTCAGAGCGGTTTTTTTCCTCAGCTGATTGAACGTCACTCAATTTTGATTAAATTGGCTGGGTTCGATGTGTTTATGATTGCTTTTCATTTCCTTTTTCAGCACACAGCGTTACCTGTGTGTCATTTAATGTAAGTTGAGCTATAAAATTGAAAATTACATGGTCAAAAACCAAAAATAAGTGGTGAATTTAGCACATAGTTGGGGATTCATCTCACTAATGACATGTACAAACTTTAAGATAGAAATATGTGTGAAAGAGGACAAACACAGCCAAATCATAAAAACACTACTTTAAAATGATCAAGATTTAAATGTTTCTGTGATAAAGCTTCTGAAATGTGTTGTACAAAAAGGTGTGTAAACCTGACCTGAGATAATCTCTCTACATCTGGCACAGGATCTTGTTTAGTCATAATATGTATATGTGTCATGACACGGTTTCTCATGTTATGCCAAAGGTTTGTTCTCCCATCAAACTGTGGTGCGAAGAAACAAACAACTCGTAGCTATTCATCTACCTACGCTGGCCCAGCAAGCACCAACACATCTAGGGAATAGTTGTGTGACACATGAAAGAGGCCGACAGCTTGGGGAGTGTTCTGCTTCATAGCTTTGTAATGGAGGAAGGCTTGACAGTTAAATAACTCATCCATCTCATCTTAAAGGTCACCTATTAGTCAAATCCACTTTTTCATGTCTTTTATACATAAACATGTGTCCCCTCTGTGTAAAGGGATTCTGAACGTTTCAGGAAAAAAGATTCACTCTCTTTTTGTCCTGATCCATTTATATAAAACCTGTCTGAAAATGAGCTGATCAGATTTTGGCCACTTTGTGATGTCATAACAATTGTTTGGCTTGTGTAACCAATCACATACAGTAGACAGAGAATCAGCACTTTTGAAACAGGGCTGAAACAGAGGGGATTATGGGATGCTGCAATGGGTGATCGGTTTGGTATTTCAGCCACATGTTTTATCTGAGACCTATAATATATTGATGGAAAAGAGTATAATAGGGGACCTTTAAATCAAGTCTTGCTTTCTAGGGTTTTTTCAATGTATTTTTCAAAGATTTGCACTTTAACGTCAAGCAAGAAATAATTTAAAAGACAGTGTTCAATAAACCAAAAGTTTATAGAGTTTTTTAATGATGAAAACTCACATGTTGTTAAAACAGCATGCATCATGCCCACCACCAATCACATGACTTATAAAGTAATACAAATACAAGATATAATTGGTTATAAACCAGAATCACATGACTCAAGTTTTCAGTTAAACAAAACTTTTCATACAATTTCAACTTTGAAAAGAGAAAAAACATTGTTCACTTGGTGGATAAATACAAAGGTAAAATAATGAGCATAACTGAAAAATTGCACTTTCAGAGAACTATTAATTCCTTATAATATATAACCCCTCACATTATAACCATATAAATGAATATGTATGAAACTGTCATAGAAAAACACCCAGACATTTAATTCAAGGTTAAATAAGTTCACGACTAAAGTTTCGTTCCAAACCAATACATGTCATACAAGCTGTGGTCTACTACAGTACATCTAGCATGGCAAAATACTCCCATCTTTTTAACAGTAAAAAAAGAGTATAGAAGACTAAGATCAGGTCATCACAGAACCTCTTATAGAGTCTACACAGGGAATTTTGCTTTCATTTCTGGGTTAAGTTTAACCCAGAAATGAACATTTATGATTTATTAAAATAATAACAAACTAAACTCATATGTCTTAAACGAATCTGAGGATCAATTTATTACACCTAAAAAAACTGTAAAAAGTTATAATATGCTAATACTAGTTTATTTAAAAGCTTTGAATGGTCTACATCAGTGACCCAACACCAAATATATATATATTTAAAATGTATCTCTGTAAGGACATAACGGTAGGCCAATCAGATGGACAGAGGGGTGGGTTATGCATTTGTCAGACATGTTTAGCTTAGCGCAAAGACTGAATGCAAGGTACAGACCACAGACCCAGCTATAAGTCAAGGAACGATATTCATTCTATGAAACTCTTACTATTGCCTTATTTACATGTTGTGTATTGTTAGCTAGCTGGCTAACTACCAGTACAGTAATAAATCAACTATGTTTTATTTGGGGAAAGCTGACAACTATAATGACAAGATTTCAAAAAATGCTGCGTCACTGCTGCAAGGTTTGTTAGCTCTGATGCTTAAGATAACCATTTGTCAGGCCACAATGTTTTTATTTTATTCTGCCCGTATTGAATACAGATGATACGATAAGTACTTTGTCATTTTTGACTTTTCTAGCCTTGCATTTCCCCCTGCGTCATGTCTTTGAGCTAAGCTAGCTAGGCTAAACACATTTTTAATGCTTCTCTATAGAACACAGAGAGATTAAACTGCATACTCCCAGTAGGAACAACACATATGACACTCAAATAAAAAGTGGATTTACTACCCATCACCATAAAATACTTATTTAAAAGTCCTCAGTACAAACGTCCTTTATAAGATTTGACATGGAAAATCTATGAGAAATTATCTTGTTCTTCCAAGAGAATAATCCTGTTCATGTAATCACAGGCATTTTGGAATACTGTATACAGCACTGAACTACAAACTGTGGTTCAGTGCTCCCTTAATATTACAATATTACATAAAACATTGTTTTATGGCACTTCTTCAGCCTTATAAAACAATAGTTGACCCTAGACGGTCCAAAAAGCCAATTGTTTATCATAATAAAAAATATTCTCATAGAATTGTACATTTAAATCTCCACGGACACACTAACTGAGGACAACTTGTTACTCTAATGTAACAAACAATGGAAGTTTCACAGAAACCAAACTTATGGGTATCTAACGTTTCTGTGCGGGTTACAAAAAACACCTGATTGCAAGTCAGGCATTTTTACCACACACAAAACTCCAGATGCTTTACCTAAATGGCCAAAACTCAAGTTTAGAGAGAAATGAAACTCTCCATTTGAATTTAAGCCTGAACCAACTCAGAACATTACTGTCGGGTCTCCGTAAAGCCCTGCCGGGCCGAACTACCAGGGAGTCATCCAATTCGAGATTGAAAACTCAGGCTCCCCTGAGAAAGAGAAGGAAAAATAATGTTAGTCATCAAAAGTCTGTATCAAATGTAAAATGAGTGTCTGCATAAGTGTATCAAGATTATGGTGTCCGACAGGTTCAAACAAAATGCTGCAAATACCAAACGCTGCAAGAAGTTCGAAACACAACGGAAACGGGGACACTAAAAAGTGATGCACACAGCTGGGACTGGATTTTAAAGTTGGCCAACTTTCAATGTCACTGTTGTATTGGCTTATTTTAACAATGCAATCACATGATTCATTCTCAATATTATTGCAGATCTGCTGTAAGCTAGCTACCTAACCTAGTCATTTTGAATATACTGACAAAACGCTTACAGTTATGAAACAGCGTTTGTGTTTACAGCAGTTGTGTTTTGGTGAATGTTGCCTAAATGCTGCGCATGTTTTGTCAAGTTGGCACATTTGTGTTTTTATATTTCTGTTCAGTCTCCTAATGGAAATGTTTTGGGCCGTTGTAACGCACCTGTCAGCCACCGTACTAGATACATAAATAAGCGCAATACACATTAATCTAAACAAAATACCTAATATGAGAGTACATTTTATTGGAACACAAAGTCCAAGTTTTTTTTTGCCATTTAATGCAATATAGGGTTTCACATAAATATATTTGGAAAGTGTTTAATTGTTTGGCGGTCAGTATTGAACAATTTGGAGGTTTTTAGTAATATAATTCATTAAAATGACTTTATAAAAGCCAGCTGATCAAGCATTATAACATTTGCTTATTTCAATTTTAGAACAACAAAATGATGTTCATTTCACTTTTTACAAAGAATAAAAAGTATAATTTGGTTGAAAAATGCAGATATATCACCTTTAAGTAAGCTAAACCATTGCTGGTGCATTAGCTTCAAATGGGCTAATATTTTCAAGTGCTAATTTCTTTTGGCGTCAATGGCCAAGGTACCAGAGAAACAGGTATGTTTTCAGTCTACAACAGAAGATGTGTAGCTTTTCTGTTGTCCTGATATGAATAGGCAGCTCCTTCCACCATAATTATCATTCCGCTCAAGGTAAATTGTAGTCTTAGTAAAAAGTCATGAGGCGGTTGACTTGTAGCCTCCCTTTTATCCTCTCCTATTGTTATCAAGAATCTGAACTTAGTGTTCCACTGGAGGAAAGACATTTCAGTCCCTAAAGGCATGCTGCTGGCTCTGCGGTGACAGCAAGTACATTTAAAAATAGACCAGTCAAGCAAACTTAAGTCAAATGGCCCCAGCCTTTTTGCCGACTCATCTTCATGAAGCAAATTACTGTTTGACACGCCATAAGCATACCAGAATACTCAGTAACAGTACTCTACAACAACATTGGAACAGAGAGGAACAAGGCCTCAGGGTGCGAGTTCACCTTTACGAATAAATGACTTTAAAAAAGGCCTATTCAATACTTCTTGAATAAAAAATAGCACTACTTATGCCTCCCTCCTAAAATTTCAGACATTTTTGGACGTTTATCAATAGAGCCTAAGTACATTTGCTAACCAAGTTTAACATTGTCGTTGACTCTATTAGTTCATGCTCTTAAGATGTGCTGCCCCGCCAAAAAGCTCAACCACAAACAAGGAACATCCGTGCTTAGTCTCTACAGCACTGTTTGTTCAGTGTGTGTGTCTCCGGCTGTGTGGGAGGGGGTCTGAACTAGGGATGTTGAGATACACCAATTCGCATCGGTGCACCGGCATAAACGTTCAAGATGCGAGTGCACCGGTTGAAAGAGTGCACATCGGCTACAGTTTGGGTTGAACTCGCGATGCATCGATTGTAGCGTTTTGTAAAATCCCCTCATCCAGTCAGCACTCAGTAGACACGATCTTTGCTTCGCACTACGGAGTTGAGGAGAAAGAGAAACACAGCGCACCGAAAAATACCTACAAATCAAACGTTTAGCAACACTTCGGATTTTTCAAGAAAGACGGACAACTTGAAAAATCGCTCGCAAATTGTTAACGATGCTGAGCCGCTTTAAAGTACACAAGTAGTACGAGGAACTTAGCGACGCACATAAAGAGGCGACATGGGGTCTGCGGCTGAAAAGAGAAACCTGAAAGTTAGACGTATGAGTTAAATCACTCAGTGAGGTGTTCTGTCAGAGAGAGTGGTGTTTAGTTTACAGCAGCCTGTGACAGCCAATAATAATGTAAATGTCTTCCTCACTGTAAGCAGTTATGAAATACCTGTTTGTGAAAGGTTATTTGTATTCTTTATTGTTCATATAGAAACCACTGCTTTCTGCTCACTGGTGAGTTAGGCTATGAATGAGTGTTAAGCACATCAGGCTGGCAGTTGTTTGGGCCACTATGGTAGTTGTTATTTGCACATTGTTAATCATGAGCAATGCATCCTTACATTGTTTAACTGTGAGGTGTTATAACATTGTACTGTACTCTGGAGACAGAGAACACTACTACACTTGTGAAAGGGCCAGTTTGTGAAAGGTCCAAGTGTTTGTTTTTTTTAAGGTAAAAAATAAACAGCATGATGGGATGCGCAGTACTAGTAGAGAGAACCAAATATGTAAAGCACTTATTTGTTAATGTATGATTTGCTGCATATAAGGAATACAACAACATCCTCTGTCGTACCATATTGAATTGTATCATTATTGTGCATCGTGTTGAATTAAATCGTATCGAACTGTATCGCAACAGGGGTGAATCGTATCGCATCGCCTGGTGTTTCAAAGGTATCGTTAATGTATCGTATCGTGGCAACGTATCGAGATGCGCATCGTATCGGCCTCAGTGATGGAGATGCACATCCCCAGTCTGAACTGCTTCTTAAAAACTTGATTAGTTTTCCCATAGCATGATCACGTGTCATTCACCATCATTTCCTACAAATTGAATTTTAATAGTGCTTTAAGTTGTAACAAGTTGGAATGTCTTTTTTATTTTTAGTCAAAGCTTATTTTGTCTCTTAGACTACCCCGTTAATAGAAATGTGTGCATGTCTTTGTGCGCGGCAAACGGAGAATCGGGATTGATAAAGTTGGCCCACTGTCATTGTTGTTGGCAAGTTTCCTAAAGTGTACGTTTTATCAGCTTATTTTAACTATGTGAGAGAATGTGTTGTCTAGTTTGTAGGGATGTAACGATATATCGAATATCGCGGTAAATACATTTCTCAATACCGTCATGAGACTGACAAAATATACCGCAATTTTTTTTTTTTTTTAAATATATATATTTTTTAAACCTTTATTCAACCAGATGGTCCCATTGAGATCATCGATCTCTTTTTCAAGGGAGACCTGTCCAACATGGCAGCAAGTAGGTTACAACATGAACATAAAACAACAGATAACAATAAAGGACATCGTATTTACAGGGCTACATGTACATACCTAGAGACATTGACAAGTACCAACAGTATATTTATATCTCTGTCAATAAGCCACACCTTCTTGGCAAAAACGGTATTGTTTTTGAAGTGGTGGAGAGACAATGCACAGTTTGACCCACTGCTGTCACCCATGGCCAAAGCATATCTCTCTGTCCCAGTAACATCAGTACCAAGCAAGAGAGTTTTTTCCACAGCAGGGGATATTGTAAACGCCCAAACATCCCAGCTTCTACCTGGAAATGTGGACATGCTCATATTCCTAAAAGATAACCTTGATGATGCTGAGTGAGTGAGTTAGAGTTGAGTTACTTGAAAAACTAAAGTGAAACTTGATTTATTCTATTGCAGGGTCTGATTATTATATTGTTGACACTTTAAAATACTACTATCCTACTAAAATGCTGTACAATCAGATTTATTATTTAATAAAGGAAAACAATTCAAGTAAAAAAAAGAAGTGTTTTCTTTATTTTTCAATATCGCGATAAATATCGTACAGTGGACTTTTTAAATCGCGATATTATCGTACCGTGACTTTTTGGTATCGTTACATCCCTACTAGTTTGTGAAAAGTTTCTTAAATTTGCATGTGTTTCAGCACATTTTCTTTCTTTATATTTGAATAGTTTTCTGAATCTGCAGCCCGTTTCCCTAATGGAAATGTTTCTGGCCTTTGTAATCCATTTGCACTTGTCGGCTACCGTACTAAACGCCAACGGAATATGGAGTGAGGCAGAATATTTTGTTAGATAAAACCATTAATGGTTTTCACAACGTTCTTAAAAAAATAATTTGATTTTAGATTTACAGTATAAAACTAATGTTAGTGTGGCCTAGTCTTTATCTGCAGCTGTGTAGAAATCCCAGCTTTAATCACAATTAATATGCATGCAAAAGCTAATGAAAGAGACCAGAATGGCATCTAACAGAGTGTCCTACCATGGTATGAAGGTAGCTGCACATCTGCAGCAGACACTCCAGCGTCTCCATCATCTGCTCCTGGCGCAGCATTTGGAGTCTGCTTTGACTCGGGGTCATGCTGCTATTTAGCTGACGTACGGTGGCCTTCAGAGCCACAGAAGCGCACTGGATGACGCTCATTTCTGAGAACACACACACACACACACACACACACACACACACACACACACACACACACACACACACACACACACACACACACACACACACACACACACACACACACACACACACACACACACACACACACACACACACACACACACACACACACACACACACACACACACACACACACACACACACACACACACACACACACACACCCACACACACACACACACACACACACACACACACACACACACACACTACACACACACACACACACACACACACACACACACACACACACACACACACACACACACACACACACACACACACACACACACACACACACACACACACACACACACACACACACACACACACACACCACACACACACACACACACACACACACACACACCACACACACACACACACACACACACACACACACACACACACACCACACACACACACACCACACACACACACACACACACACACACACACACACACACACACACACACACACACACACACACACACACACACACACACACACACACACACACACACACACACACACACACACACACACACACACACACACACACACACATTTTTTTAGACTACATCCACTCAAACAGTCTTCAACATCTAAACATATCTGTAAAATGGTAACTGACAAGAAGAATTATATTAACTTATTCGCAGGATTTATTTTTTATTTTGGTTGAGTCAACTATTTAACTTGACAGTCACAGATACTGAATGCCTGATACTACAGCTTTCATGCCATATATTGCCAATTAAGTGATAGCATGCATTATTGTCAGTATGTGACAACAAAGTGGGTTTTGGAAAGAATTGGAAAGGTGACAGTATTTACCGTAGCTATCAGTGGCTTCGACGTCGACATACACACCATCCATCATTGTTTGTTTTAGAACCTATAAGGAAAACATAAACACTAGTTCAGGATAGAAGTTCACACACACAATATACTTTACTTGAATATTTACATTTTCTGCTGCTTTATACTTCTACTCAAGACGGAAATATTGTTTTTATTATGTAAAAGAAGTCGACTGCACTTTAATTTATATAACAATTTTGTAATGCAATACTTTTACTTTAAATGAAGGATATTAAGACTATGGTTCTTCTACTGTTACTATATAATGATTGTGAAGACTTCCACCACAGGATATCAGTGGTGTTGTTCACTAAGAGTGGATCTCAAGGAACGCACACCTGGCGTCTTCAGATGTCTGGAGGCGTCTGCCTAATACTGACAGTATGATTGCTGTTCAGTTACATCAGTCAAATCTGTTTTTTGTACAAGACATTAAGGGGCAGATACAAATTAATAAAAAATACCACTTTGTTTTTGACTTGGTGAGTCACCATAATACAAATAGTTTGTGTTTGTTGACCCTTATAATGTTGTTCTGCTGTCTATCTGCGGAGAACACGCCTGTCTTGCCAAACAACATCTACAGTTTGCACTTAGAATGTGCTATTTCATAAACACAGTTGGCCTGCCAGAATATTAAAGGGGCCGTATTATGATAATTTTCAGATTCATATTTGTATTTTGTGCCTCTAGTGTGACATGTTTCCACGCTTTAATGTTAAAAAAACAATTTAGTTTTTCCCACAGATGAGACGCCAGGAAATGTAACAATAAGCGTTATTATACCACGATCATACCACAAATAAAATCTTGTTCTGTGAAAAACAGTGTGACGCATAATGACAGGTTACCCAAGTTGCTCTTTGGCTGCACCCATGAGAAATTAATGACTTTCTGTACAATGTGTTTAACGGAACCGGCTCTGTTGCTTTTTGTCACATTTGTTCCTCTTATCACTTGACAGATATACTACCTCGCGCACAAATAAAAACCTTCCAGCCATAAAAGCCTAAAACAAAGATCTGAATAACTTGTTTGACTCAAAGTAACCTACGTCTGAAATACCTTGTGTCTCATGACAAACAGAGGAAACCCCATCATTACCACAGTTTAAGAGGGCATTATTCTTCTCATTTTCAGGTTCATATTTATATATGTTTTCTCTACTGTGACATGTTTCCATGCTTTAATGTTCAAAAAGGTCTTTATTTTTCTCATACTGCCTGTGCTGCAGTCCAGTCTGCTCCGATTGGTTAGCTGGCCGGCTCGGTTGTGATTGAGCAACCACTAGAGATATCCCGCACTTTAGCTTATCACGTACGACTTCCTTATTCATGCGAATGGACAACCATTCAAGCCTCTCTACAATTATGGTGGGAATTTTGGGATTACAGCCTTTGCAGACCATTAACATGCACAAATAAATACAACTCCCAACAGGAACAAGCTTAATAGGTCCTCTTTAGAGATGAAGGTATGCTCTCACCTCCAGGACTCTGATGTAGCCTTTCTCAGCACTGAGGTGCAGGCAGGTCTTTCCTAGGTTGTTGGTCTCATTAACGTTGGCCCCGAGACGGATCAGATCTGCCACCATCAGGTGCTGGTTGTGCTTTGCTGCATGGAGCAGGGCGGTCTATGAACAGAGAGTTATACACATTAATGAGAGAATGTGACTTACTTGCTAATTGGACATAAATAATTGAGTATACAATATGATCCAATCAATCTTAACAACCCACCTGTGGCATAGATTATTTTAGAAGCAGAGTGTGTTGATTTGCATTGCAGAAGGTGGAGAAGGTATTTATGTCATTAATCTTTTAGCACATTAGTTCTTAAAACCTTAATCTTAAACATGTATTTTACAGAAAGTATAAGCATAAAAGTTCTGATTGTCCAGAATTTGTTATGTAATACAATACAGACAGTTAGGCTAATCTTGCACCCCTTGATATTTGTTTATGTTTTTTTGCATTAACAAGAGATCTAAATCTTATAGTTTAAATAGCGTACCATTCCATCAGAGTCTTTGAGGTCCAGGCTGTTGAGCGCAGCCATCCTCTTTGCGATAGCGTAGCCTAGCGCCCTCTTCCCGACGCATACCACTTTATGGAAGGCTCTGAAAGAAACATCAGACATTACAAAATGACTTCACACTATCAGTATTTCCTGACACCAAAAGGCAGTCCTGTAAAAGGGTAACAGGTCTGAACCTGGGTTATATAGCATGTGGTTAGCGGAGGTATTTGGAAAAGCCGTTTTTGCTTCTAATTACAAGAAGCCTGCGGCCTTCAGCGAGATCAACAAGCTGAACAACAACAACAGGTCTTTTTTCACAGCAGACGTTTTGACTTGGCAAATAAGAAAACAAGGATGGGTGTAACAACTGTATTAACAATGTGATCAAGTGTCACTTAAGGTAAATAAGGTGTGACATTTAGCAAACATGCACACTGCCAGGAGGTGAAGCAGCTAAATCAGGGGCGGCGGGTGCTGTAGGCTAGGGAAGGCTAAGCCTTCCCAAATACTTGTGTCACTGCATCCTGGTAAAATAAAAATATAATGTCTTTGACATTAGCGCTGCTATGCAGCCACCTGTGCCCTGTACCACGAAGCCAGTTCAACAGACCCTGGATATGCTTGAGTTATCTTAACTAACCCTAACAAACGCGATCTCGCTAAACGGTCCTACGGCGCTGGTTATCAACTCGGTAAATCAAGCCAGGGTTTCTCTCTCCAGCTGAGAACGTGTTCACGTGAAAGGGGCGGGGTTAGCTACATTTGACCAATCACAAACAGGGACAAGTGTACTGACAGCGCAGTGTCATACTTCATTAATGAAAAGTAAACTAATATTAGACAAATATGAACTTTAAACATCCATGATGACTTAAACATATAATCCAGGATACAAGCCACATAGTTGCACCTGCAAGGAGAATACAGAACAACTCGTTAAAAAATAACTACCGAGTGTTTGAAAGCGTACAACAGTTTTATGATACTGCCCCATCTAAAACACGAGGGGATCTGACTTTATTACATTTGAGTTGAGTGTTTCGTCAACTTAATGTGTTGCTTAAAATAATATGTCTGCATACAGTATATGTGACAATGTAACTAAGTGTTGCACAGCCAGATACGGCTCGAGAAGCTGACTCAGATAAGGAAATATTGTGAGATCGATGATCTGATTGATGATGTGATGTCAGTGTGATATGAATGATAAGTGCGACACGTCTGCGTCTTCTCTGCATACGGCAGTTTAAACTGCATTTCCTTTATCCTGTAATATGACTTGATAGATTTAAACTCCACACACTGAGCTCTGATTGGTCAGCAGGCGGTGCTTTCACTGAGTTGATCTCTTTTCTATAGATGCCGGACGCGGGCAGCGTCAGATAAAAAAAGAAGTTATTTAGCCTTCCCAAACCTGAGCCTCACGCGCCGCCTATGAGCTAAATAGAAGTGAGCCATCATCATTCTCAATAATAAATACTGTTTTGTCTTTATATATATATATATATATATATAGTGTCTTAAGTTCAGCTATGTAGGCTATCATAGAGCCCCAGACAGATTCAAATAGTTTTGAGGAGCCCCTCAGGTTATATTTAATCTTCTCCAAGTTCAGGTACAACATTAAATCTTTAAGCCATAGAGATGCTTTAGGTGGTATAGAATATTTCCATTCTAGGAGTATTCTTCTACGTGCTAAGATAGATATGTTTTATCTTTAAAGAGCAAACTAGGATCAGCTTTTCATTATTAAGACGCCACACAGGTTAAATAAAACCTGTGCACTACCAATGCATAACACATATTGGAAATGTTGACAGCATGTGGAGTATTAGACCAGTTTCTTCTGTGCCCCTTGGGTCTTACTTTCTTAGTTTTCAAATGTCACAATTGTAAATAAATGTAACTTGAAAAAATAAGTAAATTGCGGTATAAAGTACCGCAAAAATATTGCCCCTACTTAAAGTGGACCTATCATGCTATATTTGAAATATATATTGTAGGGCCATACCTATAGAACACATGTCTGTGAAGTTTTTTTTTCAAAATACCAAAGAGTTCACCCCTTGTAGCCATGCCTCATTCTGCTCAAACCCCTCTTTTGCAGCCCTGTTAGAGAAACGCGGATCTTGGGTCCTTAGCTTGAAACAAAAAAAGAAGAGGAGGCGGAGCTAATGCCTGATCAGAATTCTACCGGATATAAAGTTAAATTCTGCTGTGATGAAACGCCATCCTGTTTAAACCACGTCAAGGATTATTTCTGAAATAGTATGGAGCTCAAATGCTTTTTCTCTTGCAGGTTTATCACAAGGTGAGTTCATTTTTTATTTCCTGCTTTTTAAAACACATGTGCTCTCCAGTACAGGTTAGCTCTGAGTGTTAGCGAGGCTTGCTAATGTAAACAAAGACGAGATTACGTCCAAAACACGTCAGGCATTGTTTCTGATAGCAACTTTCTGTGGGTCCGCCGTCGCTATGACGTTACAGCGGATGAACACGTCACAGCGGATGGACACGTCACAGCGGATGGAAATCTGGATCAGCTCCGTTGTAGCCCCGTTTTTAGAGATATGGGTACGGAGGAAAAGAGAGAGGGCTGTGTTTTCTGACACGTGGTGAGTTCCCTGACACACATTCATGTATAAATGACATACAAAAGTGCATTTTGCATGATAGGTCCCCTTTAAGAAAGTTATCTGCTGGTCTAACAATGGACATTTGTATCGACAATTGATGCTGGAATTTTCATTTTCACCGCCAACTCAATTGCATCAGATGATAAAGATGGCGCATGATGGCTGACTGGGTGTTGTAGTAAAATACGCGTCGTCTTGTTTTGTTTGCTCATTTAGAGATTTTACACAATGCAATGTGTTCCTTTAACACAGAAGTACTCATTTGATCCCTTTTTCTAAGAATTTTTACCAAATAATTCCTTTTTTTGTGTTAAAGTTGGCACCGTTATACATCAACACCAATTATTCGTATGTGTAAACCAACTTGGCAATAAACCCAACTCTGATGCTGATTTCCAAATACATTTACAGCCACTAAACTTACGTCCTGCCGTGTTCATCGGGAGCGAGCAGTACGGCGTTTGAGACGTCCATGAGCTGGATCTCCTCTTTCTTAAGCTGAGCCAGGAAGTAAGAGGAGTTGTTCAGGTTCCAGTCGTGGTTCTGGGGGTCGACACACTTCCCTCTTCTCCCAAAGTTTCCCATGCTGGAAGGCTGGAGGCTGGTGTGCATGACGCCATCAGGGGACAAGGTCTGCTGGTAGTCCATTGGGAGGGGGGAGTAACTCATGTAGGACTGGGGGCTGGGGATCATCTCATCAGAATCATCACTGTTATAGCCTGGGAAACGGTGAGAGGATGTGGCATGTAAGGGCTGGTAATAGATGCAGTTATTATTCGACTTAGTTGAATACTCAATGCTGATTGGTCAACTTTAAACATTCGGAGGTCTGCTATTTTTCGCTAGACTGTTGCTAAGGAGGATTAAGTGACTATGTGCAGTCATATCAATCCACAAAGAGAAGTCGGGTCAATTTAAAATACATTTGTTTCCTCCGTCAGAAACACCTTGGAGTTCTTCTCAATATTATTTTGTATTTGTATTTGTGGAGAGCACAAACCTTTGGATTCATGGTTTAACTATCCCGCAGACGAAAAGAAGGGAAAAAGAGAGCAAGAGAAGGAAAGAGGTTAAATGACATAGTGCTGGACGTCAGAGAAATCAACAGAAGAAGGTAAACACTAAAGGGAATGGCAGAAGAAGACAGACAGGAAGTAAACACTAACAGGAACACTATGGGCTCTGGCAGTGTTAGAAGACGGGTTAATGGAAAAGAAAATGTGAACAGACTTGAACAGTTGCAGAAAAAGCTTGATCAGTTCTGCAGTCATTTTATTTGATGTTCCTGTGCCGCAGCAGAATGGACTACTTCTTCATAGTGAAATAGTACGATCATTTTAAAATCAATAAAAGTAATTAGAAAATCAATATTGCAAGTAGCAGGGTAATAATAGCATATTTATCAAGGTTTCCATGACTTACCAGTTGGAGAGGACATAAGAGGTGGCGGGGAGTGGCAGATGCTGCCAGTCCTGAGGTCCTCCTCTAGCACCTCCACGATAATTGCCAGCTCCTCCAGGCTCTGTGTGGAGCCTTTTCTCTGCGAGCCAAAGTGGTATGCAGAGTTATATAAACAGCTTCTTAAAATTGGCACGTTATTTACAGCTTTCCATAAACCTGCTTCGTACACTCAACACTCACCTTGGCGGTTCGGCGTCCCCTGCGAGTTTTGACTCGTTGCTTGCCTCCTGTTGAAGAAAATGTCAAGTTCAGGGTTGAGAGGATTTACAGTGTTTTCCATCAAAGAAGAGTGGAATATATTTGGCCTAAGGTTTTTGTTCCTTCCTGTTGGTTTATTAGCCAAACAACCTATTCATACAGAACATACACATTTTGTTATACGTTCATAATTCCAGAGTTGATTTGATGTTTTTACTTTTTAATCAAATCTGTACTGTCCTATTAAACCAAGATTAAAAGAAATATATTTACTATATATTTAAGTTAGACACCAAATGTTGTTTTGGCTCCTGAAGAATTTATTCTCCACAAATTATTTCAATTTAAAATAGTTTTCCAGTCCAGAAACGTGTAAGTTCCCTTTAGTCATCATTGAACCCCAACGGAGCTGTGTGGCTTTATATGTTGAGATTTCTGTTTTCCTTTGAGCCCTTGCAACTTCTCACGGTTAGATTGAAGACGTTTAAACTGTCATTTGGTTATGATGTAATCAGCTGCTATTTAAATAGTGCTAACCCTCCAATTTCTACTCCTATTGTGAATTTCAGCTTATGAAAAGCATTTTGCTGAACTTGGCACTGAAACTGGAAGCCGTTCGTATTCAAATCTGCACACATTTTGAGGCTTAAGCTTCCAGTTATTTAGCAATGACCAGAAATGTGAGTTTTTTTCTAATTTAAATGTTACTCATAAGTATTTTTGGGAGAGAAACTCCCTCTGGAGCGAACTTTGGGATTTTGCAGACCATTTATAAGCGCACCAACTTATAACACACATTAAGATCATTCAGACACATTTGCTCTCAGACATCTCACTGTACCAAATCAAGCTATTTGCTAGCAGTGTAGATAAAGAAGAAACAAAAAATCCACCACACCTACAGTACGTTACTAACGTTAATAGATCTGGTTTTTACTGACCTTTGACTGTTTTGCTGTATATCTCCTGTTCACACCAAAAGAAACAACAGTAGCATCAGTGGTAGTTTTATGATTCAGATTTTTGAGACACAAACATAGGAGTTCCCTGCTGACAGGTATAAAAGTACAGATTTTTAATAGGCATAACGACATTGCCTGAGATCAGGAGTCAGTGGTTTGTTAACATCTCAAGTTATATCGCTCAGCATATTTATGCAGATAAAAAAACAAAGATTTCCTTTAAGCAAAACTGTACTGTCGCATATCATGTATATAGTTTCTTGGTGGATATTCAATCACGAAAAGGCACGTTTTATAATCCAAATCCAAATAATAAATCAAAAACATTCATAAGCCCATGTCTTCTGTGTATCAAATGCAAATCGATTTCGGTGAAACTTTAAACCCAAAGTTCAAATGGCTGATTTGTAAGAATTGTAACTAGTTTTTTTTTAACATTTAGATTGTTAAAATCAGCCAATGTCTTCTCATATTTCAGTGCTATTTTTTCTATGTTTCCAGTTCAACTCTGATTTGTCCTTTATTTTCATACTGACAATGGACAATTTGTCAGCTTTTATAGCCCCTTACTGTTTGTGTGAGCCTGCTAAGAGAGCCAGAAGACAGAATGTTGACCTCTCATCGTGCAAATGTTGACTTCTCTGAAGAAGTTGTTGCCAAAAAAAGGGAGATGGACAGAAAGAGGGACAACATATTTGGCTATAATGCTCATCAGAAGTAATAAGAACCATATCCAAATAGGCCATTTAAACATATCAAAAACTTCTTCAAATATGGGTTATTTTTGAGCCCATGTAACTTTTGTATCTCTTTACACTTTATGTATATAAGACAGCAACAATCAAGAAACCAACTTTAAAATGCATTACAGAATGAAATGAATCTCTGCGCAAGTTCTTTCAGGAAGACTGGTATACATTCACTCCGCAGCTGCTTATAATCAGCTCATCACAGGCTTTCTTTTTAACCTATTACATTTGACCTCAATCTCCAGCAGCCAATCATCGTGCGGCAGCCAAACTTTAAAATGGTTCTCCTCTCTCCTGCAGTCAGCTGTGACTTCAGGTGTTCATGCTGCCGACCCCATACACCTCCTTTCATCATATCCAGTGCGAGGAGAGCTAATCCAAAGACCTTATCACACCTCCTCATCAAATCCAGATCTTCAGCATCATCACCAGTGTCTTGACCCCGGGGGGTTCCCTACTGTATATGCTCACGGCTGCATTTCCCCCTTTAGATATACGATTTCAGGATTGGGGTCTAATCGCCAAAGACTTAACATTTATCATATGGCATGTGTCAATAAATGTTCTATAAACAACATTAAGCCTCTCCTGATTGAAATGTTATTTTAATATTAATGATTGTCTAAATGTTTACTGAAAATCCCTATCTTGATGAATATCTTAACCAATATCAGTTTTTATTTGTTTCACTGAGCTAAGTACACCTGGGCAAAACAAAAGATTACCTGTAAGTCTTTATCTTCCCAGCCTTGGTCTATGCGGATCTTTTTCAGTAGATCCCTTACTGGCATTTTGACACGGACCCCAAGGTAGACCTTGTCACCATCATAACTGGAACATTTTTCACCTGTTAAGGTAACAATGGATGATTAATTGCAGGATCCAACTATACATAATTGACAGACCAACATATTTAACACTTCAATTGGAGGTCATTATCAGAATATACACATGTGTAGCATTTAGATCAGTATAGTTATCTTGCTGGCAAAAAGATAATTATTAATATGAAACACACACTCTTTAAATACACTGTTTTCTTTGACTTGAGAGTAAACATAACAGATTTTGATTGAACAAGCTTTAACTAGCTTCAAATAGCTCTGATATAGTACAACGTCATGTGGCACTGCCCAGTGCATATTTATTTCCTCTGCCTGTATCTTTACTGTCTGTTATAAAAAATGGCAAAAGCAGTCAGATACCTCAAAGCCAACAGCTTTCCATCTGTGGTGGAAAGTAACTAATATTAAGTTAAGTTTATACTTGAGTAGAATGTTGAAGCTTGTAGCCTACAAACTTGAGTAGGCTATTTCCATTGTATGCAATTTGATTGACTACATAAAATATGTTTTACTTTAGACTGCTTGACAGGTTGTTACTTTACAGCAGAGGTGGAACAAGTACTGAGATGTTGTACTTAAGTAAAAGTACAAAAGTATTAGCAACAACATATACTTAAAAGTTAAATGAATAATTATGCGTATTTGTTATAATTATTGATGCATTCATGTGTTTATCACAGCTGGTAAAGGTGCGGCTTATTAATGACTTGTTATACTGCAGGGTAGCTTGTGAATTTACTCCAGGTGTAACTAAAGTCTTATCTCAAGTAAAGTAAAAGTCTAAAAATTGAACTCAAGAACAGTACTTGAGTAAATGTACTTAGTCACTTTACACCCCTGCTTTACAGTTTATACATTTACATATTTCATACACTCAGTTGGCAGTTCATGCATCCTCACTTCATGAAGGTAATGACTGAATGTTCAGTATATGTTTTTAATTGCTTTTAGAATCAAAACCTACCATTTAGTGCCTCTTTAAAGTTGAGAATTAAAGGCATTGTTGTACATAGCATACCGTTTAGGAATAGGTCTACTGAGTTTAACAATCAGTTAACACCGGCCAAAACCGGCTTACATTGAAACTGAACGAGTAAAGTTGTTTGTTGAATAAGTTGTTTTACCTTTTCGTTTACCGCCCACATCCTGGAAAGTCTCGCCGTGAACAGGTGAGTCTGGCTGTGGAGAGAGCACTGCCCCAATGTCGGCTGTTTCATAACCTCTTTCTTCGAGCTCCTTTAGTTTGCACCGTCCTCCCATGTTGTACAACTACTGAAAATTAAATTAAAAAGTCAGAAAACGTTATTGAGCTCAATGTAGGCTACGTTCAAAATACACATTAAAAAACCTACCCAATTCCTGTGGCTGGGCAAAGCTCGAACCGCTCACCGAGTTGACTGCACCTGTTTGTCAGGTAGACGCTCAGTCTGCCATCATAATAGGATGACGACCACGCCCACTGCCTGGGGGAAACATGCGCTCCACTCCCACGCGACCTGTCAGAATCAATTGGACATGTGGCTGCATCTCAAGTCTGTTAAATGGAATCCTTGCGTCCCTCACTCTCGTCGTTTCCTTGCGTTTAGTCCCTCCCACCAGGGAAGCATGGAGATACGCAAGAAAGGCTTCTCAATTCTCAAATTTCCCCTCCTCCACTCTTATCCTCGAGACTTAGTCCCGCCCACAGGAGATGCGAGCGGAGGACTGAGGAGGGGAACTGAGGAGAGAGGAGGGGAAGCAGCAGGCGGTTAAAGAAATGAGAACTCCTCTCCTCTGAGCGGTCATTTTAAAGAGACGTCCATCAATGATGACAGGAGGCACAGCAGCACTCTAGAGGCTTCTCAATTCTTAAATGTCCCCTCCTCGACTCCTCAACTCCTTGGTCCTCCGGTCGTGACCTGGAAATGAATTTCAGCGCACCATGTTGAAGGACATCTAATTTCTCTAAATGCACTTCCAGGGCCGAGCATCGAGGAGGCTATAACCGACACCATGGATGTATTCTTTCACACACACATACGGGTATTGGGCCGAGCGCGACACCGTACTTCCGGTATCCGCCGTTTTACGCGAGGTGCAAGCAGCCGTACACCGTCTAGGTGTTGCTAAGCTTCCTGTACTGAATATCATAGTCTATTGCCTTAATCAATATCTAGTCAACTCTAAAATACCACATATATGCAATGGCATGATAATATTATTGTGACAAGTGGAGTATTCACCTGGTGTTTCCAGAAATTAGACGTAGATGCAGCCAAAATCGACGATGGCCACTGTCGTTTTTCCATACATCTGCAGGCAGTCTGTAACAACCCACACAGCTCTAGTTTACGCTGGTAACGACCTAAAGCACACCCCTCAAGTCCAGAGATGTAATCCGAAGACATGCAGCGATTTCTTCGGTCGTTAATTCAGAAAAAAAAACTAGTGCGCTCTGCCTTGCTACGTTAGCTAGCTGTTTATATTTGCACTTCCAGGATATTTGCACCTCCAGGAAAATGGCGTATTTATATATATATATATGGCGCGTGTTGCATTGTGGGTAGCTCCTGACGTCACTGTGTGTGAAAGAATAATAAGACAGATGTGTTCATGACAACTTATATATTTACTTTTAATTCATTGACAGTGCGGTATAATGAGACAAGATGCGGACATATATACACACACATATATTTATATAAATATATACAATTTCAGAATCAAACAAGTATGAGAGCACTCTCATAATAACGTAACACAATCAGAGACTGGATATATCCCCCCCCTCTCTCTCTGGTCGCTGAAATGGGGAATTGAAATTACGGGCCAAAAGTTGTATTTACAAACTTTAAAAGTAAGCAGAGGACACCAAACCAACTGAGACCCGTCTGTCCGCCGCATCTACGCACTGTACAACACACACACCTACACACTGTACCACACACACCTACAGCTCCTAAAGCATAATCAGGCTACAGCCGTTGTGTATTTTATTATGTGAAGCACTAAATGGTTTAAAATGCTAAAATATTGACTCTTTGTTATATCTACTAAACTGCAGCATACAAATACAGAGAGTAATGTAGGCCTGTTACAAGGGCGCCGGAAGCGGGGGGGCCAGGGGGCCATTGGCCCCCCCACTTTTCAGCCCTGCCCCACATTTTCGCAGATGCCGCGGAAAACTGTACAAATCCCGTTTCAATAATTCCCCTCTACTCTAAAGTCGCATCTAAAACGTGATCTGATCTAGCTGTGTACATTTTGTTATTTTTTATTGTTATATATATATTCAATCTCAGTAGCTACACGCATTTTTTAAGCTTGTAAAGGGACGACCTCAGCTCGCCTCTCACTGGCCACTCTGCTTTTCCACAGCGCCGCTTCCCCTCCCTCCGCTGACATTATGAATGTATGGCATATAATCATAGATAACACGGCAGGGTCCGTTACAGTTTGTTTTCATCTGATTTCAAATAAACAAAGTCTTGGCTTTCAGAATATTATACTTGTTTCAGCAAATTCAGATGATAAATACAGGTTCGAAGCTTGTAACGGCATAATTACAAGCGGAGAACGGAGTAACTTAACGTCACAACAGGCATAACAACAGCCGGTGTTTCTCGTAATCAATCAGATCGATCCAGAGAAGAGGACACTTTAAAGGCCTTTTTCTCAAAATGATGACTCTGTAACAGTCATTATATAATGTGACATATTTTGCTTAATATTTGGAGTAGCCTACAAAAACAATCCTGATATCATTAGAAAGCTAGGAATCAAAATGTGTCTTCGGGTCAATGCGACTGATTTCGATGGAGCAGGTCACTTTGCATTAGGTAAAATAAAGCAGGCAGACATAACAGGAAGAATATGTTGGCCTACATTTTAACCCAATCAAATAGGACATTGTTACACCATTCTAATGTATCCATGTAAATTACAACCAATAAAAAAGCTTAGATTTGTTTATTTGTTACGTTGTTTACTTTATTTGTTACGTTGTTCTGTGTGTGTCAGCCGTTAACCTAGAGATAGAAAGAATATATACACTTGCAAACATGTCAGAAGAACCAGCGCAGAAGAAAACTAAATACAGTCAATCTAAACTTAAATTTAACAACTGGAAGGTCACATCCCTGACATCCACATCTCCGGAGCCTGGACCTTCTTCAAACAGCGAAGCCAGATGAACGACGTTGTCTGCTGCCTTTTTTTAATTTTCACAAATAGAATTAAGGTTTCACAAATCTCAAACCGTGTTATAAAGAATCTTTAGAGTCTCTGGGATAATCCAGTCCAAATAAATCGGCTATGCAGCGATTTAAGAGGTTCAAACAGGGAGGATTGTTCGCTCAGCGCTGTCAATTAAATGTCCCTTAACTTTCCCCTTAACTGTCGAATCGGATGCTCTGAATCGGAAGCCAACTTCAGCGTCGTAAGCAGCAGCTCTGCGGCCGCAGAAACTGTCAAAACCGCCGCCGCCCCCACCGCCGCCGTTGTTGAACCGAAACAGGCTGGTTCCGACTGCATGGAGGTTTGTTGTCGGGACATTGAGGCGGGTAAAGCATACTTGCCAACCTGGAGACCTCAGAAATCGGGAGCATTTCAAAACCACCGCGGGGGAGGGGTGCTAGTGGATCGCCGGAGCTGGATTAACATTAACATGCTTATTGTAATTGTAAGGGCACTGCCTTGCGGCCTGTAGCACCATCCTTTATGGAGCATATGTGAAGGACAGGAGTGAGCAGAGTTGTCAATTCTTGTTCTGTTTTCTGTGACTATTTTCCCCACCCTCTCAGACTTTCAGTTGCGTGCGCTGCTAAAGAGACGCGCTACCATAGAAACCAAACAATGGTGTAGCTGTATTAAAGTCCGAGTGGAAACAGTCCAATCTGATTTTGTCAGAAATCGGGAGAAATGCGGGAGAAATATGACCCTGGGAGGAAACCGGGAGAGGCCAGTGAAATCGGGAGTCTCCCGCGAAAATCGGGAGGGTTGGCAAGTATGGGGTAAAGCTGTACAGCCAGGGTTCGAGTTACGTGGGAGCCAATGGGAGCTGAGCTCCCATAAGGAGGGGCCTGAGCTCCCACGGACCCAGTGAAATCAAACATCTGTGGGGGTCGCTAATATACATTACCAACAACCATTATTTTCATCACAAATAATGCATTTTTCAATGTAATGAGTATTATGTACGTTAACGAGGTAAATAGGCAAACAAAACAATGTTTTCCAAAAGAACTACGCATCGTATTCTTCTCTCTTGAATGACAATATGCCTGCACTTCACCTCTAAGGTGCGCAATAAAATATTGCGCAATCTATGCCTGTGAGGCTGTGGGACGCGCGCCCGAAGAATGAACCGTTATATCAACACACATTCAAATATATTGACAAGATACACACATACTACGAGTACCGTAGGCTAGCAGACGATTACCATGCCGCCCAAAAAAAGGCCACTGCCGCCGACGGGGTCTACAAGCCTGGCTAGTTTTGGTTTTCTCACAAAGAAACAGCTTTTGACAACCAAAATGCACCTGCTAGCGTGGCAGCTAGCACTAACCTTGCTGCTACGGAGGATTCTGTCTTTGCTAGCGGACCTGATGCTGTTGAATGTGGGACCACCTGCACACACGTAGAAAGTTCCGAAGCGGAGCGGCATGAGGAGGCAGGAGGTACTGTTACAGAAGGACCACCACTTAACTGGGGACACAATCAGTGGAGATCCTGGAAAGAAAGAAACCCCTGGCTGTTTTCAAAGGAGGGTGGTCTTGGATGCCTCGTCTGTAAGGAAGCCAAGACTCTCTTACTTTCGGAGAAAAAATATGGAACGCATTTGGTGGATGCCTGGCAGGGGCGGTTCTAGGGGGGGGGCAGTGCCCCACTAACACTGACCTCTGACCCCCCTGTGGCACCCCTAATAATGAAACGTTTTTTTTTTTTTTTTTAAATGTATATTTTCTGGTACTCGGTTTGCCAAAAACCGCAGGATTTTGTTTCTGTAATGTGAAATTGTGCAGACACCCTTATGTAAAGTAGAGATGTAACTGTTCATTGCCTTTATTTTTATATAAATATGGTGTTAGTGCAAACATTGCACTATAACCTAAGCTGAAGCTAACAGTAATAACTATAAGATCTATCTGAAATAAATAAGTGTACTGAAACAAATACCAATAACTATTGCATTGTTTTCTTATGCGCAATTACTTCATACTGTCTAGTTCTCTTTTTCGTCCTGCATTTATTGTGCCCCCCTCAGAAAATAACTGGCCCCCCAGTGGCCCCCCCAGTCAAATTGGTCTAGAACCGCCACTGATGCCTGGACCAATGGTACTGTGTGAGTAGCCCTGTGCAGAAGCATTTGCGGACATCTTTTTACATACACCGCGATTTTTTACATATTGCTCATAAACGAGCTGTTGAAAAAGCGGAGCTCAAACTAAAAGAAGTGCTTCCGAAGAAAGTTGCAGAACTGAGC